TTCTTAAAAGATTAGACTCTTGTCAATCCTTGTAGTGATGCAAACAACTATACTTCTATAATATGTAGTAAAGAGAGATATTTTCCACTTGGGTGTTGAGTGAGACATTGTTGATTTTAAAATCCAAGCTATATCCTCCACTTTGAGATGATGCAAATTCTCCTTTCTCATGATTGTGGGTAGTAAGTATGTTTTCTACACGGACAATGACGATGATGTCTTATCTCATAAAATTAACCAACACACTTGTGTTTCAAATTTTTAAAAGAGGAACTACGTGTACCCTGATCCCCTATTGCACGAAAGGTGGTACGTAGGAACTAAAGGTTCGCAACCGCGGCGGATGCAAAAATCATAAAAATATTTCTTTTCTCACCTCCACCATCCATTTTATATATAACACATTTTTATAACCAAAATATACTGATTTTTCAAAGAGGTTCCTTCGGAGTATCGTAGATGTTTAGGGTGCTAATACCTTCCCTTTGCATAACCAACCCCCTTACCTTGAATCTTTCCCTTTTTTTTTGGGTTATTTGCTCTTTTCCCATTCTTTTGGAAACAATAAAGCGCGGTGGCGATTTTTATTTTGATTTGTATAAAGTCTAGTCAATCCAATGACTTAGTCTTGAACATTTCTACCGCTACAACAAGGTGAGGGCAAAATGCTTCAGGACCTGGGTTCGAATCCCAGGTCCCCCAATTTCTTCACAATATTTTCCTTTTCAGGATCCAGCGCGCTTTCAAGTCCAAGATCCACCATACACCCTCACGATCCAGCTTGCCAAGTGGCCAGATGGCCAAATCCAAAGGCCATCCACGAGGGAGCACCAAACGCCTAGTCAAACGCATTGCATGGGATCTCAGAAAGTCAAAACGAACCTCCCTGTTTTGGGCCAACGCTTGCTATATGCACCCCCTCAAACTACTGATTGCAAGCCCAAGTTTCCTATTTCCTTTTCTTTTTATATTTTATTTAATTTATTTATTTATTTATTTACTAACAAAATTATTTTCTTTTTTATCAAAAAATCACAAAAATACTTTTCATCCAATTAAATTTAGGAATTTTATTTTTTATCAAAAAATTAACTTAATTTAATTAGATTATTAATTTTAGATAACTTTAATTATTTTCAAATAAATTAAAATTAATTAGAATAATTAGGGTTTTTATTTCTAACTTAATAATATCTTATTTTTCTTAAAATAACCAAAAATACAAAAATAGGCCATGTAATTATTTTCTTTAATTAATTTAATTAACTAATTAATTGCATATTTAATTTTAAAAACTAATTCTTTTTATTAAAAACAACAAAAACATTTATTTCTTCTTTTAATTAGGTTAAAAAGGGTCAAAACCCTAATTTTTCTTATCGTTCTAATTTCATCACGCGCGCTTTATTGTTTTATTATTCTTACCATATTGATGTAACTGCCTACAAGTTGTAATAGCTTAATTAGGACTTTTATTTTCATTTATCGCTTTATTTCATAAGAATTTGTTTTTGGCTATGTAAATACCCGAAGCCTTGTAATAACGTAGTTTAATTTTCGCACTTTAAATTCCGCAAAATATTGAACTGTTAGATGTATGAATAATTAGGGTTTGTATGACAAGAATATATGATAAACTTTAAAACAGTTAGATAACCCTAAATGTGCAAAGATAAATAACTTGAAATTGAATCAATCGCACATGCGCACTCCTAGGGTACACTCCCACTTTGTTGACTTCGGTAAACGGTCATTGAGTATAGGATGCTTTAGTGGTCGTCCTTTTGTCTAAACAAAGATCAAAGTCCCATTCGAAAAAGTTGCCTCGGAATGGTTGCCTCGGAATTGTTGCCTCGAATAATTGATCTAAGACATTAGGGTTACTCCTAAGACGTCCTAACGTTGCTTTAGTGACCGTACGTCCCTTTCAAATTGACCCTCAAATCTCCAACGACGATGCTACCTACTCACTAATAGTGGGATAGCATTGTATAAAGGAAACGAACATAGAACGATTCTTTTTTTGAGTAGGTAGATTAGTTCTTAAGTACTTGCTCAATCCAAACAAAATTTTTCACACTTACACTCTTTTAAATAAAGCTTTCAAAAACACTTCGTAACACTCTTGAAGATAGAAGCAGGGGTTAAATCGAAGTCAAAACAAAAACTTTTCAAATCACACAAACACAAAGAAGCAATTTTGAAAATGATGAGCAAGTACCTAAGAGCCCGTAGATAACTACGGATAGAAAGGGTGCTAATACCTTCCCTTTCTATAATCTACCCCCCGTACTCAAAAAATCTCGAAAAAGAAATTTTTCTGTGCTTTTTTCCTTTCCTTGTTGGATAAAATAAAAGTCGGTGGCGACTCTTGCTTACCGCGACATTTTGCGAACACAAACGCAAAATGCAAACCAGCAATTCCTAAAAAGGAAACAGTCCCGATTCTGGCCACCGTATCACATATATTATAATAAATTCTCAAACATCAAATACAAAACAAACAAATCATACAAAACAGACTACATGAATAATTTCACTGATAAATCAGTTAATTAAAACATACATGGGATCATTTGTCACTAGTACTAATACCATGACCTATTATAAACTAAAACTATAACTAATTTACATCATTGTTCTCTCCATATTGAATCATTGGATCATTTGTCACTAGTACTGGCTCAACATCATCAATTAATCCTTCATCGGCTAAACTACATATTTGTTCAAGTTCTGTGATTGGCACAACTAGTGAAATTTCATCAAAATGATAAGGCATTTCATTGTCATTGTTATATATCTCCACATAACTCCTTGGTTTTATGGTGATTGCAGCACACCATCCATGCATGTTTCTACAAATATCTGGATATGGGACATAATACACTTGTTTTGCTTCTTGTGCAAGAATGAACATGTCATATTGATGATATTGTTTATTCATCTTAATGTCAATAATATTGTACTCCTTATTAACTCTTGTGCCACTATTATTTATTGGATCAAACCAAGCATAATAAAATATGGCAATCTTGTTTCTAAATCCATGGTATTCCAATTAAACGATACGTTGGATGATACCGTAAAAACCATCTTCTCCTCTATTTGTAATTCCTTTCACCTGTACCCCACAATTAGTAGTTTTTTACCACGACTCCATTCTCCATTGTGAAACTTGTACCCGTTAACAGAGTAGATGTGCCATGATGTTGCCTTAAGATTAGGACCAAGAGCTAACGCCTTCATGTATGGGCTAGGTGTTCCATTTCTCTCATCATTCACCCAAAAAAATATACATATAACCTTAGAGATATTACATTGACAAACTACATCAATGTGAGAAGTACACTTACATATTCCTTTAGCCATGAAGGAAATTGCTCGTGTATAAGACCAGAATCATCTTCCTCATTGATACGGTGATATTGCATGAACAATCTGACACCAAATATAAAATTTATGAAGTATTTATACACAATGGTTGAGACCAAAGCAATTTTTTTTACAAAATGTACTTACTCGAGGTATGGTTTAACCTCATCACAATTGATTAGGACATGCATGTGAGCAGATTCCCATTCCTTATCAAGCACCCAATAGTCTCGAGGCTTTCCACTAGGACGACCGCATTTGTTAAAAATAGAAAGTGTTGGTTGGACATTCTCATGATATGATCCAGGATCATTTCTGAAACTTTTACTTGGCAATAAACTAACGGTCTTGAAATAGTGAGAGCAAAAATAAGTAGTTTCACGATGCAAGTAGGCAGTGCATATTGAACCTTCAACTCTGGCTTTATTTTTCACTGAACGCTTGTAGTCTCCCATCAATCTAAGAGTGAAACAGTTAAAAGATGTTATTTCATTAAAGTAATCTACAAAAATTACACATTATTTACCTTTCAAATGGATACATCCAACAATATTATACAGGACCACCAAAGATTGCTTCATTAGGTAGGTGAACCGGGAGATGTTCCATCGAGTCAAAGAAACCTGGTGGAAAAATTATTTCAAACTTGCATATAATGATGGGAATGTTTTGTTCCAACCTAACAAGGTCTTCAAACTTTAATGTATTACAACACAAGTCTTTAAAGAAACGGCTTAACACGGTTATCGGCTTCCATATCTCACTAGGCAAGGAACGAAAAGCAATTGGAAGCAAACACTCCATGAATATTTGACAATCATGGGATTTCATCCCCTTCATCCTACCTTTGGTGACATCAGCACACCTAGAAATATTTGAGGCATAGCCATCAGGAATTTTTAGTTCCTTAATCCATCTACAAACTAGCTTTACCTCTTCAGATGTCAACGAAAATTTTGCCTTTGGCTTAGCCATCTTTCCATTAGGTAGAGGACTCATCTATAATTCCCAACATAAACAGTTAAGAGGTAAATCCAATCTTGCCTTCTCATTGTCCTTTGTTTTTGCAGGATCGTTCATGACTGTGTTAAACACATTATCAAATACATTATTCTCTATGTGAATCACATTAAGGTTGTGCCTTAACAAGTTGTACTTACAGTATGGAAGATCCCAAAATATACTTCTTTTGATCCAATTATGTTGTTTTCCATACCCTGGAAATTTGGTGGCCCAGTCAGTATCTGTGACTTTTGGAAAATCACGGACAACTTCCCAGATATCATGGCCGATAAACATGTAAGGTGGTATTTCTTTCTTAATCATGTTTTTTTAAATATATTTTTTGCTTTTTCTAAACGGGATGATCCATTGGTAAAAACCGACGATGACAATCGAACCAACATTGTTTTCCCCCATATCCTAATGTGAAAGCCTCTGTACTATCCATACAATAAGGGCATGCTAATTTACCTTGTGTCCCCCATCCAGGACAACATACCATATGTCGGAAAATCATTAATTGTCCATATTAAATGCGCTCTCATTACAAAATTATGCTTCATAGAGATATCATATGTCACAATGCCATCTCTCCACAAGCGCAGCAAATCATCAATCAAAGGTTACAAGTAGACATCTATTTTAACTTTTGGGTTGTACGGTCCAGGTACAAGACAAGTCAAAAACATGTATGGTTTGGTCATGCACATTTCAGGAGGGAGATTGTATGGTGTGACTATTATCAGCCAATGTGAATAAGGAGAACTAGAGGCTTGAATGTAAGGTGTAAACCCATTAGTACATAAACCGAATCTTACATTTCTTAGGTCACTAGCATAATTGGGATAAACTTCATCAAAGTGTTTCCATGCCTTTCCGTCAGATGGGTGACGCAGATCATTTGGATTGCTTGTGGTCTCACGATGCCATCTGATTTGAGCTACAAAATCCTTTGAAGCGTAAAGTCATTGTAACCTAGGAATGATAGGAAAATAGAACATTCTCTTCACTGCCACATCTTTGTATTTTCTCATTCCACTCTTTCAAGGAACATACCTAGCAGCCCCACAAACTCTACACTGAGTTAAATTGTTATCTTCTTTATAATATAATAAGCATTCATTCACACAACAATCAATTTTCTCAACCTCCAATCCCAACTTAGACACCAACTTCTTCACTTGGTAATAGTTTTCAGGTAAGCATTGATTTGTTGGACAAACATCGATAAGCATTTGAGTGAAAAAATCCATGGCCTTTTGAGGAACATGCAAATTAGACATGACAACCAACAACTTAACTCAAATAGATAGTCTGGATTCAGAAGCTCCCTCATAAATGGGTTGATTTGCAGAGGTTAATACATCATAAAATCGTTGAGCTTCTTCATTTGGTAACTTCCCCTCACTACCTATTTCGTTTTCCATATTAGCATTCTCATTTGGAACATTAACAAATTGCCTCCTAGCATCATATACCATTTCATTCATTGCATCCAATTGTTCTTCATCACCATGATTATCCCCACCATCATTTCTGCCACTACTAGAATGACCATCAAAGTCTACATTCTGAGTATCTATTCCATGATCAGTCCATGTATAATAGTTGGGCAAAAAACCATTTTTGTACAAGTGATGTCTAACCTCACTAGGCGTCTTCAAGGGAATGCATACGCATTTTTTACAAGGACACCTTATCCCTCCATCAATTAAAAAATCTGGTCGATTCATGGCTTTATTGACAAAATCTTCAACTCCACTAACAAATTCATCTTTCAAACCATACTTATTGGAATTTACTCTATCGTACATCCAACTTTGATCCATTTTCTACATAAAAAACAAACATAAATTTCTAATATTCATTTGTTCAATTGACTTCTATATTTAGTCCAAAGCTACCTATATTAGATTGAGATTTGAGAGTGATTATTTATATATAGTTTGAAGTTTTAACTCCATATAAATATACATATTTTTGTTTGTGTGTGTTTGATTGTTACATTTTGCCAATAATCAACTCAAATGCTCCTGATTCTCACTGTCCTCACGTCACTTCTTCTGAATAAGTGTGTCTTTGTTTTAGGTAATTTATAAAAGAAACAAATTATTTAAATCATTGTAAAACCAACATAAAGAGAAAGTAATTAGAATAGTGTTCCAAAACAAAGGCAAGGAATATATATAGCTAAGGTAAGTAAGATAATGCTATAGAATTAATCAACAATTTATTCTTAATGGTAACTAAACAATGACAAGGTATGTCTAATCAAAATCGAATGCACACTCTACTGTATTCTTGTGTTAAAATATAGCATATTGCAATACATGTAAACGTAGAGAGAATTATTGTTGGTCTGTTACATATTGAAGATGTGCCTAAGTACATTTCAACATGCTAAACCTTTTTCTTCAAAATACTACTGCTTAAAAGTGAATAATATATTTATTCTAATTTCACAATATCTACTATAGTATGTCATCATTGGTTTAGTAGCTAGGGTCATGATTTTACTTTTAACTACTAATATAACTTACTTGTTTATGCATAAAGGAAAGATAAATTATTGTGATCAAAATTACACATATTCCTTTGAGAATTGAGATGGTAGTACATATGTTACACTTAAACAAAAAGTATCATTTCCCTTTAATAACTATAAGAAGTCTGACTTGGTTTTATATTTTGTAATAAGGATGAAATTGTTATTGTTGAGTTTAACTTCAAAGGGTTAGCTTCCATATTGGGTCAATACTACTGATTCATGTCTTTTTTTTGAACTAATTATGAACTCTGCCATTATCATATTTAATAGTATGTAGAAAATTTCATTTCTGGTTCCCAAGACTGCATTTAATACTCAAACGGAGCAGAGTTTGTCATGGCCAAATCATCAATGTGTCGGTTTTTAGCATTATTTCTATTAGGTAGTATTTGGTAGAGAAGGTAGAAATGAACGGAACATAACATATAGATTCTCACTACGCCGAAAAAGACTTACGAAAGCGCTTTTTTTAGCCTTTAAAAGCGCTTAAAAGCGCTTTCTAAGGTGGCGCTGCTATAGGTTTTAGCAGTGCTTTTTGTTTAATGAAAAGCGCTTTCGTAGGTCTACCTAATACAACACTTTTTCTAAAAAGCGCTCTCTTAAGTAGGCTTTTGGCAGCGCTTTTTTATGAAGAAGCGCTTTCATAGGTCTACTTAAGGCAGCGCTTTTTTCTGGAAAAGCACTCTCATAAGTTTTCTTTTATCAGCGCTTTTTTCTGGAAAAGCGCTTTCATAGGTGGTCTTTTAGCAGCGCTTTTGCCTGGAAAAGCGCTGTCATATGTTTACCTTAGACAGCGCTTTTTGTAAAAAGCGCTTTCATAGGTTACCTAAGGCAGTATTTTTCTTGAAAAATCGCTTTGATAGGGTGTTTTTTTAGAGCTATAATTTATATAATTCATATACCTGCATTGTTTGCAGCATATTATTTATATAAACCAGTTGCCATAACCTGTAATTCATAAACCGCGGTAATACATTGTATACCATTGTAATCCAAAATATATATACACCATTTTTTTACCTCAAAATATATAAAAACCATTGTTATCAGCATTGTAACTCAAAATCAGTCTTACAAAATCAACCCTAACAACAACTAAACCAGTCCTAATGTATGAAAGAAACACGGTCAATAATGTATTAAGGTCCTGGTCCTGCGAGGTTTGAACATAATAACACGGTCAATATGGTAATCCATGTACACATGTAACGTATTCATAACACTTTTCACATAATAATGTATTCATACCTTATATGATTCTCTGCTCAATAAAATATTGACACAATTCCTCTTTGATTTCTTCTAACTGAAGTTTCGTGTAATATGCACATTTGTATTCATCGAAGTACTACATAACAAAACATGATATGCATGATTTAGTTAAAAGTAAAAAATTATATGAAATATCCAAGAAATAATAAAACAAATCCTAAGTTATAAATCCATACCGTGACTGGAATCTCTATTTGATTCAGTTGAAGGATTTCTTTGACAAACCGCATAACGAAGTATCCGCAATCTATACCGTTTTGCTGTTAAGGACACTACATAGAAAAACAAATAAGAATATATAGTTGTATTATTTTATCAAATAGCATAAATATTATTAGCAAAATAGTGGAAATTAATATACCTACACTTTGATCCAATTAATGTTGTTTGATTTAGACCGTCGTACCCGAGCTTCTCTTTGACACCAGAATACTTGTATCGCTCTAACAAAATAAAAATATATATTTAGAACAATGTCACAGAAATAATTAAATATATAAATACACACAAATATTTAAAATAATCTCACTTACGTATCAATTATTAACTTCATATCCGGATAATTTGTCCAATCACCGTCAACCGAATTCAGATAATAGACCACTTCTTTTATAGGATCGATAGCAACCAAAAATGAAATGACAAATAAAAATGAAATGACAAATTAAATTTTATTGAATGATATAGGCTATAAGTATATATACTATTACCTTTTTCACTAAAGTCTCTTTCTTTTCTTGGTAGGAATGTGTTATACTCGTCTCTTAACAACGCGGACAGTTGGATTGATCCAAATACCCTCATTATGATCATTTCTAATACATGATTCAACCATAATAAATGATACCTAATTCTCTTTGGTACCATAATAATCACTTTTCTTGATTCAACCAATTTGTTTTCTTTCATCACTTATCTCTCAACTTCCTCTCCTCTATACAATATTTTGTAACAGAGAAAATCTCTATCAATGGGACAAAGAGACATATAGTGAACTTAACACCACATTTTCAACACCATATTTTCAACCCTAGATCTACAATATTGTCACAAACTAAATTTGTAGATCTGTTTAAAAAAATAACATACCTTGATGGAGAAATTTCACAGTAGAGCCAAAGACAACTACAAAAATGAAATAACAAACCACCACAATTATTCAATGTCTCTTAACATCAAACCATAATTCTTGACAATTATTATATAATAAACAAATAAAAGGAATCAAAGGGAAGTAAGAATGTATATGGAAAAAAATACCAGTGGAGGCTTCTGAATGTGACGGCAACAGACTCGCGTCAGGAGGTTGGTTACGGCGGTTGCAATGTCGCGTGGTGTGTGTGTGAGTCGTGCGTGAGAGTCTTTCTGGCTATAGAACTGACTTCAATAGCAGGATCTCGGCCGAAGGAAGAAGTCTGATGGTGTTGTACGTTTGAGGTGGACGGTCGAAGTTGGAGCAGGGATTGTGTGGATCTGGTGGTGTGGAGAAGTCGCGATCTGAGCAGACAGCAGGCAGCTTTGAAGAGAAGAGAGAGGATAAGAGATATGGTTTGAAGGGAAGAGAGATGGGAGAAGAGAGAAAAGGAACAAAATTATGTCTAGCGTGAAACAGACAGAAGAGAGATTTGAAAGAAAAAAAATAAGTGAAAAAATATGAAAGTGTATAAAACCATGCTTGCTCAAAATCATTAACCAAACAAAAACACACGAAAACCAGACAAACACATATGAGATGAGGAAAAAAAATGAAACCTGATACGAATTGCAGTTGGCCGGAGAAGTGGAGCGCCGTTGACCGCCGTAGAAGCTCTGGTTTAGGGTTTTTTCGTGAAGAAAATCTGGCTGAGAATAGAAAAGTGATACGAATTGTGTTTTGATATTTATTATAAAACTACCTACGAAAGCGCTTTTAAAAGCGCTTTCTAAAGGTAATCTATAACAGCGCTTTTACATCAAAAAGTGCTTTCGTAGCATATCCTATAGCAGCGCTTTTAAAAGCGCTTTTAAAAGCGCTTTCTAAAGGCCAGCTTTAGCAGCGCTTTGGAAAAGCGCTTTCTAAGGCTGACCTTTAGCAGCGCTTTCTTAAGGTACCCTCTGAAAGGCCAGCTTTAGCAGCACATCCCAAAAAGCGCTTTCTAAGGGTGACCTTTAGAAGCGCTTTTGAAAAGCGCTTTCTTAAGGCACCCTTTGAAAGCGATTTTTAAGCGAATTTTTTTTAAAACCTACAGCTGCGTTTTTTTCCAAAAGCGCTTTCTTTTATGTGCTGCTAAAACTTATTTTTGGCGTAGTGTCTGTTATGTGTTTGATAAATTAACAAAAGCAGGACAAAAGTTAAATAAAATGGTACCATTCAGTTCCATTAAAACAGTAGAACTAGATAGAACCAACCTCTTGCTGTCTATAGAGCCATTGACAAAGTTTTTCCTGAAATCAGAAAAACACCCAACATTAACGAAATGCCAACACAATGCTTAAATCTTTAAAAATAAAAGAAAAAACAATGATAAAATAGAGAACAATGTTAAAACCTCAACATTGTATGCAAAACCGGATAATTAGAAAAAACATTTTTTATTTTCTTTAAACTATTGCCATATCTTAATTTAAGTATCCTTTCATGTGAGGAATTTGTGGAAACAACATGATAATTACCAACAACATACAATATGGTATTGCATGATTTTATTGCATAATATCTTAATTTAAGTATCATTTCATGTGCAGAATTTAAGTATCAGTTCCATAACAATTTCCACAACAACATCAAAACTAACAACACGGGACACCGCAACTAATCTCAAATAGTTAGACATCATCATGTGCAAAATTCGTGGACACATTTGGATAGAAGACACTTCCAAACAAACCATTTTCCAAACCCAATCTTCAATCATAGCTTGAGAGTTCAAAGGTTGATCAGTAGGCAAAAGATGTCCAACCCCCAAAACCACAACATTAGTAAGCGTCTTCCATTTTTGCACATAACCAGCTAAATCTCCTTTCACCTTC